ATAATAATTAGCTCCTCTAGGGGAACAAGTCATCTTTTTGCTATTTCCCCTTCTGGGGGATCTGTTAGTTTTCAGGCGGTTGATGCACGAGTCAGTTCCGAGAATACTGCATCAAGCTTGAGGACAAAATCTGTAGTGCATGGATCTCCGACCTCAGGATTACAAGTTATCATCCAGCAGACTATCTGTTCTTCTGGCCCTCCGCTGACCCTTTCTGCCGTTAGCCGGATTAGGAGTGGAAGTACCAATGGTTGGATAAACACAGTAAGTGATGCTGCTTCTGCTGCGACTGGGAGGCCGAGTTCTCTCTCTGGGGCCATTGCTTCAGCTTTTCGTGAGGGTCAAATTTATGATACTCATGGTGACTTGAATTCCGTGAAGAAAAACTATTACCTTCTTGTTTTCTCTCAATCTGGATGTGTAATGCAGTATGCCATACGTTTTCCGTCTGCTTACATTGATCAGGGAATAAATCCCAATCACGACCCGGATCTTGATCATGATGCGCGGTTGATGGTTGAGGCAATGCAGAAGTGGAATATCTGTCAGAAGCAAAACTGGAAGGAGCAAGGAGACAGTATGGAGGCTAATAATGGAGCTAATGTGAAATTAGGTATGAGTAAGATATATCCTGAAAATATGAAATCAACAGATAATAATGTGTTCCCTGATGTTTTTGGGGTGGCTGTGAAAGAAAAGATGAGTAGTGAAGAAAAGCACCATCATATGTATATCTCTGAGGCAGAGCTTCAGATGCATCAAAACAAGAACCTGCTGTGGGCAAGACCTGAGGTATTTATTTCACATCTCTTGTTGTTAGCAACTAGTATGTTGAATGCTGAAATGGCATCAGTTTTTTTCTCTGAACCATCTTTTCGGGCAGATATATTTCCAGACAATGGTAGCTGATGGGTCGGAGATAAATGACAAATGTGGTGGAGAGATTGAGATTGAAAGAGTCCCCACCCGCATGCTTGAAGCAAGGTCAAAAGACTTGGTTCCCATTTTTGATTATCTTCAGAGCCCCAAGTTTCTACAAGGAAGGTAGGTTCTGATGGTTTTACTAAAATGTTGTGCGAGATATGCAACATGCATCTTATTTTGAGGCACTGTTTTTTATTTTTATTTTTTGCTTGTTATTTCGGGACTTATTTATTTTATTTTAACTTGACCGTAGTTCTACTTCAAATTTAATTAGATTTCCATTTGTTACAAGTTTTTAGACCTAACTTTCTTGGCGTTCAGGTTTTCAATCATAAATGACGACAACAGTGGGAAATTTCAGCCTTTGGGGTCTGATGTATCTGATGGTGGCTCTCTTGACTCGGTAGCCAATGGTGGCCTCATCGAGAATGAAATGGACAATGTTGTAGATGAAAAT